CGGGGCGGGGACGGGCGCTGCCGGAGCACCTGCCTGGCGCAGGACCAGCACACCGGAGAGAATATGCAGTGTCTGGAACGATCTTCAGGCCCAGCCTGAAAGGTTTCTGGCTTTCTCTTTCCAGCAGCAAACGGGGCCTCTTCCGGGAAGGCGGGGAAGCCCGGAGCAGCCCCGAAGAGGTCCATCGCCGACAGCGAGGAATCGGAAACCTACAAGTCCCTCTTCACCTCGCACAGCTCGGCCAAGCGCACCAAGGAGGAGTCGGCGCACTGGGTCACGCACACGTCCTACTGCTTCTGAGTGCCGTGCCCCGCCCCGTCCCGCCCTCCGCGGGGGTCATTTGCTGGGGGGACGTGGGGCGGAGGCGAGGCCGGGTGTGCGCAGCCCCTCTGGGCTAAAATTGGGTGGCTTTGCTGCCGTCAGAGACAGCCTCGGGCCGCCCTTCGCCCTTCGGGTTCCAGGCCCTGGGAGGAGGGGCCCTGCCCTTTTCCAACAGAGTACAGGTCAGCGGGGCACCTAAGGTGTTACAAAATAAAGCCCGTCTGTGTCTGCACTTCCCTCCCCTCCGGTGGTTTTTGCTAAGAAAATTGCAGGCTTGCTGTGGGTGTGGTGGCACACACCTGTGATCCCGGCGAAGAGGCACAGGCGGGAGACTCGGTGAATTTGAGGCCAGCCTGGGCTATGCAGTGAGAGCCTGCCTCAAGGGCTGCAGCCTTGGTGATAGGACTCGGAGAAGTCGTGAGGAGCCCACTCCTCTCCCTCAGCGGAAGGGCGAGGGGGAACTGAGCTGAAATTGGCCCGTTTTATGTATCTTTCGTGTGCGTTGAAAGGTGGTTGCTCGTAAAGCGAGTACCGCGCTCAGCACTTTCGGGCCCTAAGTAGGGAGGTGGGAACTGGACCGATGAGAGGGCGGGGGTGGGGCCCCTTCCCACCTGTCCAGTGCGAGCTCCGCCAGGGACCGGCACACAGCCCAAGCGTGCTCCCTTTTAGTCCAATATTAGTTACAGCTTTGCCATTACATTTTTATTTTGATGGCCATTTTTACCAATTTTTATTTTCTTAATTTTAGCTTTAATGAATCAAATTTTAATTTGCGCTGGTTATTTGGGATTTTTTTGGTCTGATTTGGTTTGGTTTTTTAAGACGGTCTCGCCATGTAGTTCAGTCTGACCTTGAGCTCAGTGCAATTCTCCTGCCTCAGCCTCCCAAGTGCTGGGGTCACAGCCGTGTGCCCCCATACCCAGCTGTGCTGCTTATTTTGAGTGCAGCATCCACTTCTCCCTGGCCCAGTCTGGCTCTCAGAGCTCCCCCTCTGAAGTCACAGGACTGCATGGCCGCTGGGCCCCTCCCGCCCGCTGCCCCTAGGATCTCTAAGTGGGGGAGGGGCCTTTCCCATTCAGCAGAGGTGTCCTTCCGGCTGT